AGTAGGCTTGTTGCCACATAAAATTATGGACTGGCTGCTACGAATAGATATTTAAATTATTGGCTTGCTCCTATTCAAGAAATGCAATGGAACTGATAATTCATAGAAGAAAACACCTTCCAACTCTATAAGAACTTTATAAGATTACTCTTGAGGAAGACCTTTGAAATGAGCGTAAAAACCAGTGTACTCATCGAGAAATGAGAGGAAAATGCTGGACTCTGTTGAGAAAATGAATAAGTTGGACTCTGTTTTAATGTAAAATTGAGATAATGAATAAGTTGGACTCTGTTTCAATGCAAAATTTATCAAATGTGTCATTGTCATTGATCACAGTGGTTTCTTGTTTGTTGGCATGTACCTACACACTGTGACCCCTGTTTGTATCTTGTTTGAATTGGCCACCATATCAGACAGGATGCTGGACTAGATATATTACTGGTCTGATACAGCAAGGCTCTTCTTGTCTTCTTAAAGTGAGGAATATAAAATTTTCTCCATCAGCAGATTTGACTCTCAGGCCTCCAAAACATTACTAGCTGAATAAATACAGAAATAACTCTCACGACTTAAGCCCGTTGCCATAGTGTCCAATCATCCCAGACACAGTCCGCTTAGAAGATCTTCCAAAATACACAAGATCCGTAGCCTCACCTGCAACAGAATTACTGTTATTGGGGCACCTGTTAGACTTGTCGTTGCATAAAAACTACAGGAATTGTAAATGAAGCATCTGCTTTAGTTTGTGGTACCTGAACTCTACACTTCTAAATGGATCTGTCAAGAACCAAGTAATTGTAATTAATTCTGAACGAGGCTATGTAGTTCTTCCCATTTCTAAGTAACATCCTTTTAAATCATAGAAAAGACGTAGACTTGGGTAAATCTTTTCCTAACCCTCCAACACTGTTTGATGATGTGTGAAAGTGAAAGAAGACAATCCATGATAGTAGGCATGCACAGACCTGCGAAGCCAGGTACAGCCTGCCAGCCAGTGACGGCAGTCCCCTGGGGCCCAAAAGACCTCCTTTTTTGTCTGGTTGGGGAAGCTGCCAAGCATAGGTCTGCTAAGCTGGGTTCAAAAGCTGTACAGATCTTTATTAAGTTGAGAAGGCAAGAACAGCAATTACCGTGAAACAGGCAAAGCATATGATTTGATTAGTTGTTGTAGATTTTCCAGGTTGTGTGGTCATGGTCTTGGCATTGTAGTACCTGACATTTTGCCAGCAGCTGTGACTGGCATCCTCAGAGGTATAACACAGAAAGATAGAGTACTCTCTGTGACATTGACACAGAGAGTACTCCATCTTTCTGTGTTATACCTCTGAGGATGCCAGTCACAGCTGCTGGTGAAACATCAGGTACTACAATACCAAGACCACGGCCATAAAGCCCGGAAAATCTACAACTAATGAATTCCAGCTGTGAAAGCCTTCGGCAACATGTGATTTGACTAGCCAAATTTTGGTATCCAATCCAATCTCTAACACCATTTAAATTACTTTTTCAAGCAGTCTGTGAACAAATCACAATTTTTTAACAAAGGTATCTCTGAACTTGTAAAAAGGGGTAATGTACCATATGCTGGGGTGGATCTAACCATTCCAAGGATCCTTCCTCTAACTGGTTCTTTCTCCAACAGCAGAGCTACTTAAGTTGGGAGGAAAGCTCCAAACTTTGCTCAGTGGACAGGAACAACTGCTTTTAATGTAGATGACAGGGTTTCAGATGAACGATCTGGATGACTCTGGCTTCTCTTGTGCTGATCAAAGATTGGCTTTTTAAAACATACATTCTCTATCTCTTGATGGCCATATATCATTCATTGTCTCCTTCCCCATGATCTTCCTTACTGCTGATGATGGTATGCTTAATGTTAACATTTAAATGTGAATGATTTAGGAATAATCGTACAGAAGCACGAGAAACCCAGAATGCAATATAAGCATGTCTTATGTGAAGGGACTTGTGTTGCTTCAAATTCAGGCAATCTAATCATTCTTATCTTAAATCACCATTTTAAGAGATTCAATATTCTATTCACAAACAGTTATTATGGATTGCTGAAGTTTATGGATTTTCTCTAGAGTAACTTCTTTGTGAATACTCTTTTCACAGCAAGCTTCTTAAATAATACTTATAAGGAATAATCTGTATTAAATTGTACTTTTGTGTGTCCCATTCTTGGTGGTGGTTGTCTGGCATATTGTTCAAGTTCCATAATTTTGGATAAGAAAGCAATATGGAATTAAATGTGACCTGTGTATAAAGGGATGGAGTACCACCCAGTCCCTACAATGTGGGAGTATTTGGGAAATTTAAAAGAATTTATGGATGGCCAGAGGTGACAGCTGAACCTTTACCCTACTCATATCTTCCCCGACACTACTTTTGTGTAGTTTTTCTGTGGGCGCACTCTGCGTGGAGAAGAGCAGTGGGCCCTCCCTTCTGGCCATGCTTCACTTTAAATCCCCCTCCTGCCTTCAGAGTGATTCAGCACATCAAGCAAAGAGACATGCTGCAATCCTGTTTATAGAGACAAGAAATTAACATGTTTTGCCTAAGAGGGTTAGAGTGTCGTCTGGCAGCATCTGAAACAGAACCGCCAACTCCTCATCCTGTGTCTTGCACTGCTAAAGATATCAGCCTCCCCCGTCTTGTTTGCAGCTGCTTTTCAGCGGTGTTTTACATAACAAACTGGACCCACCTGCTGATAGCTGCGGCAAGTACAAAGTCACCTGCTCCTTTCTCAGTAAAAGCTTGCCACGCCAAGCTTCAAAGAACTAATTTTGCACAGTGGGGATTCTAAGAACACCTGATACGCTCATTCTGGGAACAGTTTATTTTCAGCTTGGGTTAACCTAAGCTGCTAGGTACAGATGTCCTGTTATCGTCTTGGCACATATAAGAAGCAGCCGTGATCCCATCTTATTAAGCTGTTTGTACTTCACATTGAAAGGGTGGGAAATGTTCACTCCAGGCAAAGGAAGCCATGGGACAAAAAAAGAAGCCGCTGTGCTCAGCCAATTAGACTGCCCACATGGCAGTGAGTTTCAATAGATATAAATAGCTGACATGGCAAAAGGTTACACAGTCTTGACTGAGGGCATGCTATATAGGATTTTTACTCAGTGAGCTTCCACAGCAGACCAAACCCGGGTCTCCAAGTCCACCGCTCTAACCACTGCACCATGCTGTCTATCCAATTCCAGCAAGTCACCCCTTGATCTTACTGGTCACCACCCCTGTGTCAGGGCAGCAGATGTAAAAGGTTCAGGGAAAAGGGATTTAAAAAAACAACACCTGGCCCCGGCCACGTGCTGGAAAACACGCGGGGGGGAGGAGCTCTGAGCAGGAGCAGGAGAGAGAGCTGTGAGAGTGGTGAGTGGGTTTCTTTTACTTGCTTTCAGCTGAGAGAATTCAGCTAAGGATATTTTGTGGGAAAACTGTGTTTAGCAGTGTGTGGAAGCACTTAGAGTTCTTGCAGAGTCCTGGCTGATTGAGTGTGGGAGAGGAACGGGCATTGTTTGACTGGGATTGCCTGTAATTGAGAGGAAGTGGAAGGGGCATTGTTTTGCCTGTGATTGAGTGCCTGGGTGAATTTGAATTTGAATAGCTGCTGCCTGACCTCTGCTGGGGGAGGCCTCTATTTAAGGAAGCACCTTGGCAGAGGCACGAGCCTCTGGCACGAGCCGAAGGGTGAGCTAAAGGGCTCTTTGCCTGTGGCTCTTAGCCTAGGGACTCTTAGACTAGGGGCGCTGTAAGAAGCCCAAAAAGAGCCAGAAAGACAAGGCCCTAGGCTCTTTGTCTTTCCCGTAAAATAATTTGACTTGATAACAAAACCCACATAAATACCAAGGGTTTAAAAGGGGGATTATATTTATTTATTTTAAAAGAATTATGAAGCCAGAATGCCAGCAGGGGGTTGGGGGCTATCCAGTGTTTTGCACGGAGTGTCACATGTATGACTATCTGCCCACTGGGCAGAAGTCTTGGGTGTGTCCTCGGTGCAAGGAGCTCCTGGTTCTCAGGGAACGTGTGTGCTCCCTTGAGGCCAAGGTGGCTGACCTGGAGAAGCAGAGACAGTCAGCTAGGCACACAGAAAAGACTCTCGGGGACTTGTTAGCTTCGTCCCACTCTGGATCTGGCAGCCCCGCTGCTGTCAGGGAGCATGAGGGTCTAGGGGAAACAGGGCACCATGCTGAGGATAAGGGGAATGTGCCCTCAGAAGGGACCTCTTCCCCAGCTGGTGAGCGGCTCTCCTTTTGCACCAAGGAACCATCCCTGAGCAGGGTGGGAGGGGGGCTCTTGGTAGTGGGTGATTCGATCCTTAGGCAGGTAGACAGCTGGGTGGCGAACCCGCGTACTGACCGTATGGTGACTTGCCTGCCTGGTGCGAAGGTAGCGGACATTACGCGTGTTTTAGATAGGCTGGTAGATAGTGCTGGGGAGGAGCCAGTGGTCGTGGTGCATGTCGGCACCAACGATGTGGGGAAATGCAGTCGTGAGGTCCTGGAGGAGAAATTTAGGCTGCTGGGCAGGAAACTTAGGTCCAGGACCTCCAAGGTAGCCTTCTCAGAAGTGTTACCTGTTCCACGCGCAGGGCCGGAGAGACAGGCAGAGATCAGGAGTCTCAATGCGTGGATGAGACGATGGTGTAGGGGGGAAGGGTTCAGGTTTGTTAGGCACTGGGATACTTTTTGGAACAAGAGGGAGCTGTACAGGCGAGACGGTCTCCACTTGTCCCGAGAAGGAACCAGGCTGCTGGCACTTAAAATCAAAAAGGTGGCAGAGCAGCTTTTAAACTGAATATTGGGGGAAAGCCGACAGGAGATGAAAAGTCTCTGGTTCGGGTTGGCTCATCTGAGAGAGGTGAGGGGGTACCGGTTGCTTTTCTACAGGGAGGTGGATTGAAATTGTCCACAGAGGCCATGGCTGGTGACATGGACTGCCGGACAACGACTCGAGATAGCAAGAGGAAGGATGCAGGCTTAACTTGTAAGGGAAATTACAGCTGTTTCTATACAAATGCTAGAAGTGTCCGAGGTAAAATCGGGGAGTTGGAGTGCTTGGTGTCGGAGGGAAAAATAGACATTGTGGGTATTTCTGAAACTTGGTGGGATGAGGAAAATCAGTGGGACACAGTGATTCCCGGTTATATATTATATCGGAAGGATAGGGGGGGAAGGGTTGGAGGTGGGGTAGCTCTGTATGTCAGAGAGGGTATAAAGTCTAGAAAGATTGAGAGGCTAAGTGAATTGGATTCGCTTCTGGAAGTTCTATGGGTTGAAATAGGGGGGCCAAAAGGAAACTTAACACTGGGAGTTTGTTATCGCCCACCAGATCAAAAGATAGAGGAGGATTATAAAATGATGAATGCCTTAAAGATAGCAACTAGACAAAAACACTGTGTAATAATAGGTGATTTTAACTACCCACACATTGATTGGGTCAATATGTGTTCTAGTCGGGAAAAAGAGATTGAGTTTCTAGACACTCTAAATGACTGTGCTATGGAGCAGATGGTCACGGAACCTACCAGGGGAGAGGCGATCCTTGATTTGGTCCTAAGTAACACTCAAGACCTGGTGAGAGATGTAAAAGTGATTGCACCGCTTGGAAACAGTGATCATAATGTTGTTGAGTTCATCATTTGTACAAATAGAGAATTGGCCAAAAAGACTCACACAACCATTTTTAACTTTAAAAGGGGTAATTTCTCTGATATGAGGGGACACGTGGGGAGGAAACTGAAAGGAAAAGTAGAAAGGGTCAAAACAATTGGGGAAGCTTGGGATCTATTTAAAACTACGATCCTAGAAGCTCAAAAAATATATATTCCGCAGGTTAGGAAAGGCACAAACAGGTATAGGAAAAAGCCTGCATGGTTAACAAACAGAGTAATGGAGGCTGTAAAAAGTAAAAAGAATTCCTTTAAGCAGTGGAAAGCTAGTCACAGTGAGGCTGATAAAACGGAACACAGGCTATGGCAAATAAAATGCAAGTCTGAGGTCAGGCAGGCAAAAAGGGAATATGAGGAGCATATAGCAAAAAACGTAAAAACCAACAATAAAACTTTCTTCAAATACATTAGAAACAGGAAACCAGCCAGGGAGGCAGTGGGGCCCTTGGACGACCAAGGGGTAAAAGGAGTATTGAAGGATGATAGGGAAATGGCTGAGAAGCTAAATGCATTTTTTGCCTCCGTCTTCACTGTGGAAGATGAGAAGTGCTTGCCCACTCCAGAACCACTGATTTCAGGAGGGGTGTTGGAAGACCTGAGTCAGATTGAGGTGATGAGAGAGGAGGTCCTAAAACTGATAGACAACTTAAAAACTGAAAAATCACCAGGCCCAGATGGCATACATCCGAGAGTTCTGAAAGAACTCAAATGTGAACTTGTAGATCTCCTGACAAAGATATGTAATCTTTCCTTAAAATCTGCCTCCATTCCTGAGGATTGGAAGGTAGCTAATGTCACTCCCATCTTTAAAAAGGGTTCCAGAGGAGATCCGGGAAATTACAGGCCAGTCAGTCTGACGTCGATACCGGGTAAATTGGTGGAAACCATTATTAAGGAAAGAATTAGTAGGCACATAGATGAACAAAACCTATTGAGGCAGACTCAGCACGGTTTCTGTAAGGGAAGATCTTGTCTCACTAACCTGTTAGTGTTCTTTGAGGGGGTGAACAAACATGTGGACAAGGGGGATCCAATAGATATTATTTACCTTGACTTCCAGAAAGCTTTTGATAAAGTTCCTCATCAAAGGCTCCTAAGTAAGCTCAAAAATCATGGGATAGAAGGACAAGTCCTTTTATGGATCAAAAACTGGCTAGTTCATAGAAAACAGAGAGTGAGTGTAGGTGGGCAATTTTCTCAGTGGAGGGTGGTAAGCAGTGGGGTACCGCAGGGATCAGTACTTGGTCCACTGCTTTTTAACTTGTTCATTAATGATTTGGAGATGGGAGTAAGCAGTGAAGTGGCTAAATTTGCGGATGATACAAAGTTGTTCAGGGTGGTGAAAACCAGTGAGGATTGTGAGGCACTCCAAGGGGATCTGTCAAGGATGGGCGAGTGGGCGTCAACATGGCAAATGGGGTTCAATGTGGCCAAGTGCAAGGTGATGCACATTGGAGCCAAAAATCCTAAATATAAATACACATTGATGGGGTCTGAACTGGCAGAGACTGAGCAAGAGAGAGATCTTGGAGTTGTAGTGGATAACTCACTGAAAATGTCGAGACAGTGTGTGACTGCAATAAAGAAGGCCAATGCTATGCTGGGGATTATTAGGAAGGGTATTGAAAACAGATCAGCCAATATAATAATGCCCCTATATAAATCAATGGTGAGACCTCATTTGGAATACTGTGTGCAGTTCTGGTCACCACACCTTAAAAAGGATATTATAGCTTTGGAAAAAGTGCAGAAAAGGGCAACTCGAATGATAAAAGGGTTGGAACACTTTCCCTATGAGGAAAGGTTAAAGCGCTTAGGGCTCTTTAGCTTGGAGAAAAGACGACTGAGGGGTGACATGATCGAGGTTTATAAGATTATGCATGGGAAAGAGCAGGTAAAGAAAGAGGTACTTTTCTCCCTTTCTCACAATACAAGAACTCGTGGGCACTCCATGAAACTGCAGAGCGGTCGGGTTAGAACGGATAAAAGGAAGTACTTCTTCACCCAAAGAGTGATTAACACATGGAATTCACTGCCACAGGAAGTGGTGGGTGCTACAAGCATGGACGGCTTCAAAAGGGAATTAGATAAGCATATGGAGCAGAGGTCCATCAGTGGCTATTAGCCACAAGGTATAGCTAGGGGCTCTGGGGCAAGTGATGCTCTGTCTTCTTGGTGCTTGGGGGGGGGTCAACAGTGGGAGGGCTTCTAATGTCCTGGCCCCACTGCTGGACCTCCTGATGGCACTGGTATTTCTGGCCACTGTGTGACACAGAGTGTTGGACTGGATGGGCCTTTGGCCTGATCCAACATTGGCGTCTCTTATGTTCTTATGTTCTTATGAGGAGGCATAGCTATTTGTGCTGTCGCATTCTGAACCACCATTATGCGATCAGACGCGACGGCGGCGCACCGGGGTTTCGTCCTTCAGCACGTGCTGCAAAGAGGACGGCCGGAGGGAATAGGCGCGTGGCGGCGCGATCACACCGAACGAGTCCATCTGCAGCTCGTGGCAAACCATTTGCTAGTAGATCTTTGCAGGTACTTTTTAACTCCGCATCTTCGGCGGCATGCCATGGGTTGGCCATGGGTGCGCTACATTTGCCAGATGTTGCGGTGTGATCGCACCCCGAAAATCCGCCCAGCATTTGTGCCTTTCGCGCGGCAAATGCTCCATGTGACCGGTCTCACATTGGTATCCTCAAAGGAGTTCAGATGGTAACCATGGGTCCTGCTACACTGAGAGGCAGTGACCAGCAAATGGCTGTTCATGGGACAGCAGGGCTCTGAACTCAGGTCCACTTGGACCAGATTTCATCTCCTACCCATGAGATATCAATAGTTGTTTACAGTTACTGGTTCCAGTTTAACACTAAGTGCCAAAGTAGACCCAAGGGAGGTTCGTCCTAGGCTGCCAAACTGCTCTTGAGCTGTTCAAATGCAGTTCTTGCCCCATTCAAGAAAATAAACAAAAGCTACTGAGGACTAGTCCATAGGACCGGGGTAAAGGATGAAGAGAAGTTCTGTTTAGCAGCAGTATATAGGACAGTAGGAGAAATACTGTGACTAATTCTTAAGTGTAGTATACAGGGCCAAAGAACCAATGGACCAGAAATGACACCAGGGTTTATTGCAGGGCTGGATCCCTTAGGACGTTGCTATTGGGCAAGTGCTGACACTGAGTACACTTACGAGGTGTCATGCCACATCCATCATCCAAAAAGCATAACATAAATCCACCTTGCAGGTTCTCGTTATTCACTGCAAAAGAGAGAAAGAAAATCCCTGAAGATCATACATTATGGTCAGAATAGTTATACTTTTGCTTCAGGGAAACTTTACAAACAATAAGCAGAATCATACAATCCAAATATTTTACTGTAAAATCCAGTTGAAAAGTGCACTGAAAGTGCATTGAAAGTGGATTATTTGGTGTGTATGACAGCAGCCTTAGCCTTCTCTCTCTACAGAGACATTGCCTATTCCTCTAGTACATTTTTAACCCTGGACTGGCCCAGTTACAGCCTCCATCTCTGAACAAAATAGACTTCAGACCCTGACTCTGTGTAGTTTGCCATACATAACTGGGTGACTGCTAGGCATTCCAAGAGGGGCAATTTCTTCCTTCTCTATAGCCCAAGCTGACAGAGAGAATGGAGAAAAAGGGAATCAGCCAGGCTTTTGAACATCTCCCCACCCTGCCAAACTTACAGCATCTCATATTTGTGTCTGGGCTGCAGCTAAATTTCTGGGGTGGTAGATCAAATGATCCCATCTTCTAGATAATTCTGAATAATCAGCTGGGAGCCACTTCTTGATCCCCACCTCCAAAAACTTTGCAGAACAGAACACTTCTAAGCAGGAGGACAGAAGGTGACTGCCAGGTGACCACTGTTCCTGCAAACAGAAGTGAACGGCTTCCTGATCACGACTGCCAAACAGGATATGAGCCAAACTGGTGGTGGTGGTGGAAAGTGCCGTCAAGCCCCAGTTGACTTATGGTGGCTTATGCAGCTTTTTCAAGGCCAGAGACGTTCAGAGGTGGTTTTGCCATTGACTGCCTCCATGTCACAACGCTGGTACTCCTTGGAGGTCTCCCAAGCAAATACTAGCCAGGGCTGACCCTGCTTAGTTTCTGAGATTTGACTAGCAGATCCCTATAAACAAAAACAAAACTCAGATGGAACTTACCAGTAAAGATGTCAAGCCGGGTGGCACCAGCATCTCTGAAAATATTGTTAATATATTTTTAAAAATATGAAAAGTCACTATTACAAGTAGATACATAAAAAACCAAACCACTTACTCAGAAGATTCTGCATTATGTAGAAATAGAAGACATTTGCCTTGTAATACACTTGCTTAGCCCACACTGTTGCCTTATATGCACAACATGGGCCAGCATTTGCCTCCACAGTTTACTGTTCCGGGAGTACGGTTGTCTCAGTGCTGTGGATTATTACAAAAGGGATTGAGACTAAAGACACAAATATTGTAATGCTCTTGTATAGACCCAGGGCGTGGCCACACTTGGAATACTAAGTGTAGTTCTGGTCACTGTTTCGTTAAAAAGATAACGAAGAGCTGGAAAAAAATACAGAATGGTGCAGCCAAGATGGTCAAAGTGTTGGAACACTTTTCTTATGAGGAACAGCTGATCAGTATGGGACTATTCATTCTAAAAAAAACACAGCTAAAAGAGGACATGATAAAGGTTTATAAAATTAAGCATGTGCCTTTTTTATTTTTATTTTTACATTTTGGATGGTTTTAATGAAAGGTATTATGTGACTTCTGCTTTGGGAGAGTGAGGACCAGTGCAGCAACTTAGAATTTTTATCTTAGAAAAATTAAACAGCTTAGTTGTGCGTGCAGCACAGAACAGAAGCTTCGCCTCCCCCTTGATTTTCAGAATTATCTAGCCATACAATACCCTCTTGCCACAAATATTGTTACAAACATAAAATATAACTGTTGAAAGAGGGAAAAAAATATTTACCGGGAGTTGTCTATTAGTTCAGCAATTGCTCCAAACAGAAAGTCATGCGTGGTCCTGCAACGAATAATGACATAAAAAGAAACAGAATCCCAAAACTGCAATAAATTGAGTACTTCAGTATGATCTGGAGTACATGAAAAGCATATTTCATTTGAAACATGCCTGAGAGAGAGAGCATATTTGAAGGATATTCTACCTTGAACCTCAACACACAAAAAAGAAGAGGAAGCAAATCACTTTTACAAACAGAATGTAGCACAGTGGAAGAATACAGTCCTTGTGCTGCATGACCCCATGTTTTTATTCACAAACAGGCTCCATGGCATCCATAAACTCTTACTTCATTACAATTTATTTATCAATAAGATTTTTACCCCACCATTCTGCCCCCATAAAGGCCACAAAGGTGGCTAACAATTTAAACATAGAAATTAAAACATCGTCTTAAAAGCCACTAAAACCAATACACAAATACAGAATTAAAACATATCAAAACCAAAGCTTAAATTAAGTACAAAAATTTTAAAAAACAGTCAAAACACTGGGGAAGAAAAAGAAGGGATCACTGGGGGGAAACCAAGCAAAACAAATATGCCCTCTCCTGTGTCGCCACCCACCCATTCTCAGATGGTGAGAGGGCACCCGAAGCTGGCGTTCTGAAGAAAACTGTAGAGGTCAGGTAAGTTCAAAGGGGATAGGCAGTCCTTCAATTACTTTGGTCCCAAACCACATAGGGCTTTAAATGTCAGAGCCAGCACCTTCGAAGGTGCCGGAAACAAACTGGGAGTCAGTGCAGACGGAACAAGATTGGAGTGATATGGTCTGCATCATTCTACACCAACTGATGTCTCTGAATACTTTTCAAGGGCAGCCCCACACAGATGACATTGCAGTAATCTAACCTAGATTTAACCAGGGCATGAACCACAGAGGCCAGTTCTTTTATGCCCAGGAAAGGCTGCAGCTGGCTAACCAGCTGGAAGACAGTAAAAGGCTCTCCTGGCCACAGCTTCCACCTGCTTATCCAGCAACAGGACCAGATCCCAGAGCACCTCCAGACTATGAACCTGTTCCTTTAAGGGGAGTGCAACCCCAACCAGAATGGGTGACATCTTACTTTCCCCACAAACACCTTTAGGATTCTGCTTTAATCTGACCTAACAAAGAAGTCTTGCAGCACCTTTAAAAAGTAACAGATTTATTGTGAAATGAAACTTCTGTAGGCAAGACTTCACTTTGGCAGATGCAACAGATGTGTTGTAATCTACCAAAGAATATGCTACGATTCATATGTCTTTAAGGTACCACAAGACTCTGCTGTTTTTGCTGCTGCAGACTAACACAGCTACCCCTCTGGAATTAATATGCTGTAGCAGTCTTGGATTCAAGCTTTAAAAAGGAAATTATCCAAATTTCTTCTGAAGGGCTTCTTTCTGTTAACATTAATTTTGCACTCCAGAAGAAAAGAAGAAGATTGGATTTATGCCCCACTCTTCACTACTCGGAGTCTCAAAGCGGCTTACAGTCTCCTTCCCTTCCTCTCCCCACAACAGGCACACTGGGAGACAGGTGGGGCTGAGAGAGCTCTCAGAGAACTGCTCAAGAGAACAGCTCTGTGATAACTGTGGCTGACCTAAAGTCACCCAGCAGCTGAATGTAGAGGAGTGGAGAATCAAACCCAGTTCTCCCAGATTAGAGTCCACACACTTAACCACTACACCAGACTGGCTACCCCAATAGGCAGACCTCCCATTAGAAGTAAATATCTGAAAAGTCAGTTTCCATTGGCATCTTTTTTTAACCACGTCAGGCCAGTACCTGGGTGACTGTGCATTAAAAATCACGCATTCAGCTGCACATGCACAGAGGTACATGTAAATCATTCCATGCATAAAAAGAAGAAAACAAGTGGAACATGGATGATTCCACAGGTGCCTGTGAGCAGGGCTAAAGCAGCTTATGTGCTTATGCAACTTCCCTATGTTTAATCCTGATTGATGAATGTCTCTTTAAGAGTTCTTGCATAAAAGCCAATCCACAGACTCCTCTAGCCTACAACTGAGAGAGCTGCTAGCATTTGATGAGGCTACAGTACTCATAAAATAATTAAAATATGTAAAATAATAATTATTCATAAAAATAATTTTAAGTGTAAATGTGTAAGCCATAGAGATATTAAGAAAATCCAGTTGAAGACTAAGGAAAATTGGAAAGTCCCACTATTACTTTTAATACAGGCTAACCCAACTCTTCTTAAATAATTGTGAGGAAAAGGTAACCTTATCTAAATATGTAGGAGTGCTTCTGATGATATAATATGCTTAAGAGCAACTAATTTAACTATTGCATTTGTTTTGGGCTATCTCCACCCATCTGAACAAAGGTATCACTAAGATTAATGCTGCAGAAGTCAGTCGTGGAGCATCTCACCATCTCCTGATACATCAAGCATCAGACAGGTTTCAGGAAACTTAGATGTGCTGGAGGCCCTCAAACTATTTCTCACCTCTAAGTGTGTGCGCGTGTTTTGTTTATCGTTCTTACTGTACCCAAACGCGATCGACGTTCTCCTTGCAAAAACTTTATTCTACACTCTACTCCCCCCAACCTGCCAGCGTCTCCGTGTTATTTTCCGGCAACGAGGAACAGGGCGTTCCCCTCACCGCTAGCCGTCCCACAACGCTGCTACATAGTTTATCAGACAGCCATGGTTGCAAACAGCACCTAAGGCAGACGCCCGACACAAAAAAAGACCGCTAACTGCAGAGGGCTCTTCCACTCACGAGTTTGCATGCAGATACTCCAGCTTCAACTGCGCCCTGCAAAGAGCCCGGTAACAGGACACGCCAGACATCATCGCTACCGAAAACAAACTAACACGCCACGGCGAAGTAGCCAGAGGGCGCCCCCTCCTGGCCAATACACTACGAGCACGTCAAGGGCGGTGCCCTGAGCAAGGCGACTGAATCGAGAAGGGCGAGTGGGTGATGCGCGCCCTCTAGCGTGGAGAATGTTGGATGCTGTCGAGGCTGGGAGTTTTATTTAACAGTGCGGCGGGCGTCCATCTCAGTTGGCCTCCCTGCTTTAGTTCCCTACCTGCTGAAAGGGCCCATCTAATTCCATCTTGCTGCTACCAATTTTATTGTTTATTGTTTCTATAATTTTAATGTGATTTTATTGTAACCAGTCTTTGACTTGATTTGTTGTGATCCGCCCGAAATAAATAAAAATAAATTCGCTTCCAAGATCTGACAAGATCAGGCTAGCTGGCCTATCCATGTCAGCCCAACATAACTTTTAGTAGTACTGAATTTCAAAGCTGAACCTCAGTTTGGGGGGGGGGGGAATGTTCTTACAGTATGATAATAGCACAAAAAGCAATAAAACTGAAGATTTATCTGTATGATAAATGCTTCCTAAAATGACAATAGTTGTGTCTGGCTAGTCTCAAATCTCAGTCTCCTGAAGCAGAAAATAATGACTATCCTGTGAACATTTTTCCCCATTAAGTGTGACATTGTGATGATGTTTCTATCCAAATAGGGATGTAAGAAAAATATAAGCAACAACAAACAAACACAAAAAACAAAAAACCAGTGCATGAAAATATTTATTCTCAAACTGACCTTGGCTGAAGTGAGGGATAGAAGGTGAAAGAACACTATCAGGCTTGTAACCTCGTGTATTTTTTTATAGCTGAAGAAACATATCTCAAAGATACCCCCTGACCCTATTATGAATGAGGCAGATCCTGATAAAAGACAGATCTTGATATGAAAGGCAGGAAAACACACACACACGCACACCATCTCCTACTTCATGTCAGTTCATGAAAAAGGCTGGTCCTAATAATCACTTAGCAAATAAAAAAATGACCATTGACACTAAAACATTTGGAAGACAAAGATATGCTTATCCAAATTAATGAGATCCAATTCATTCAGTTCCATTGTACCCTTCCCCTAAGGAGCTTAGGGTGGAATACATGCCTTTCCCCTACTTCATTTTATCCTCAGAATAACTCCGTGATGCAGGTTAAGCCGAGAGAGAGTGAGGACTTGAAGTCAGCCAGTGGCTGGGTGAGGATTTGAACCCTGCTCCCCCCACCCTATTTCGACACTAAATATTGCATCGCACAAGGCTCTATAGTGGATGGACCCTATTTATTTATTTATTTATTTATTTACTTCATTTGTACCCTGCCTTTCTCCCCAAATGTGACCCAAAGTGCCTCACACCATTCTCCTTTCCTCCATTCCATCCTCACAACAACCCTGTGAGGTAGGTTAGAGAGTGACTGGCCCAAGGTCACCTAGCGAGCTTCCATGGAATGAGTGGTACTTCAGACCTGAGTTTCTGGATACGAGTCCAACACTCTTCAACCACTACACCGCACTGGCTCTGAATCCTCACTGAATCTGAGGCAGGGCTACTCCAGCCTAAGCCCATTGAAATCAATGATCTACGTCCATCTAATGATCTACGTCCATTGCATAGCAAGTAGTTCACCTGTGGAGGAATGCAACATGCTTGCAATTAAAGTGCCAAGAAAGAAGCATAAGAAATAAGTGCCAAGAAATATTGTAGATATACATAGATCAGATTGAAAAGATAAATGTAAAAAATGAAACGTAAAATAAATTCCATCAAAATTCACCTTCTGTGTACTAAAAGCACATTATACAATATGATTTTTATTACCTCATTTATACATCACCTTTTCCCTCAATGGGGACCCAAAGTGGCTTATATTATTCTCCTCCGTTTTTATCCTCACAACAACCCTGTGAGGTAGGTTGTGCTTAGTGAATTACTGGCCCAAGGTCATCCAGCAAGCTTATATGACACAGTGGGGATTTGAACCTGGGTCTCCCAAATTGGAATCCAACACTCAAACCACATTGAAACACATTCAAAGCACACTGGCTCTTTTAATGTGTTTGTGCTCTTGTGCTCATAAAATAATAATAATAAAGTTAACACATAAGGTAAATTTTCAAAGCCTTAATTTGTTCATCATATAGAACAGCAACAGGAAATGAATATAAATATTGTTCAGACAGTGGTTACATTGATTCCATACATTCTATTTTGGGATGTTTGACTTTTGGGCCGACCTAAATTCTGATACCTCTGGTTTTGGGAAGTAAGCACTATGCCAATTACATATTTTATATTCCAATAGTGAAGTCAGTATATTTTTGCATACTTAAATCCGGTGACTGGAGCTGTGAATAGGAAAGACAGATTTTTCTACAAACTTGAAAAGGACCTCCTAAAAAGAATACACTGAGCAGTTTAAAAATGCTGAAAATGATAAAAGGAGAGCCTGTAGCTTTAAGCAATGGATTACCTCAGTGGCTGTTGCTAGGCAACCATAGGATTCCAAGGGTTGGTTTTGTGGCTAAAAAGGGCAGGGTCCTTTTCAGGCCTATTTTGGCCTTTGAGGGAGAGCATTTGGGGGCCAGGCCTGACTAGCATAGCCACCTTCAGGTTGGGCAATTCCTGGGGATTTTGTGGTGGAGTCTGAGGAGAGCAGGGTTTGGGGAGGGGCAAGGCCCCAGCTGAATATAATGCCACAGAGTCCACCCTAGGGATGGAGAAAATGGATGCTTGGAGGGTAGACTCTATGGTATTGTACCCTACTGTGGTCCCAGTCCTCCACAGGCTCCATCCCAACAGCTTCAGGAGTTTCCCAATGCGGATCTGGCAACCCTACCCCCCATCCCCTGCTGATGGCCAGGGGGGGACCTGGCCATCCTAGTCCACTCTCCAAAACAGTCATTTTCTCCTGGGGGACAGATCTCTGTCATCTGGATTTCAGTTGTAACTCTGGGAGATCGTCAGGTCCCACCTGGAGGTTGGCAACCCTAGGCCTGGAAGCAACCTCTGGATAATTTGATACCACCCAGCCTGCATGATTCAACAAGGCCTGGCTGCTTGCTACTGTTGAACATCAGCCACCCTATGAAAGCCAGTATGGTGTAGCAGTTAGATCTTCAGAGCAGACTCTCAGAGACTCGGGTTTGAATTCCCATGTTGCTGTGGAAGCTCATTCGGTGATTTTGGAGCAGTCACTTACTTTCACACTAGCCTTTCCTACTGGGTTGTTGTGTTGATAAAATTTAGGAGAGGAGAATAATGGTAACGGCTTTGGTCCTCACTGCTGAGAAAGGTGAGGTATAAATGAAGTCAATAAATTACAAATATAGCTGAAGATGGGAGGCAAATAAAAAGTAGGCTGGTGAATTGATGAGAAGGAGAGAATGAGGCAGGTAAAGGGGTGAGGATGTGCGAGGGGGAGGGGAAAGGGAAACAGCATGGGGAAGGGGATACAGGGGAAAGTGAGCACCCCCACATACACGAGTCCTTGAGGGTTCCCTACCATGCAAGTGGGCCTGGGCCAGTGGCTGGCACCACACAACTGGGCCATAGTTTCCCTAGGTAGAGGTTGCTGGGGGAGGGGGGGGAGGGTCAGCTTAAGACAAAGAGGCAGGTAAGGGTAGGTTGGCTGTTGGGTGAGAAGGAGAAAGGGCTGCCAACTCCAGGTTAGAAAATTCCTAGAGATTTGGGAGGTGGAGCCAGGGCAGGTTGGGGTTTAAGGAGGGGAGGGAGCCAAAAATCCTAAATATAAATACACATTGATGGGGTCTGAACTGGCAGAGACTGATCAAGAGAGAGATCTTGGAGTCGTAGTAGCTAACTCACTGAAAATGTCGAGACAGTGTGTGACTGCAATAAAAAAGGCCAGTGCTATGCTGGGGATTATTAGGAAGGGATATTGAAAACAGATCAGCCAATATCATAATGCCTTTATATAAATCAATGGTGCGACCTCATTTGGAATACTGTGTGCAGTTCTGGTCACCACACCTTAAAAAGGATATTATAGCTTGGAAGAAGTGCAGAAAAGGGCAACTCGATTGATAAAAGGGTTGGAACCCTTTCCCTATGAGGAAAGGTTAAAGCGCTTAGGGCTCTTTAGCTTGGAGAAACGATGACTGAGGGGTGACATGATTGAGGTTTATAAGATTATGCATGGGATAGAGCAGGTAGAGAAAGAGGTACTTTTCTCCCTTTCTCACAATACAAGAACTCGTGGGCACTCCATGAAATTGCTGAGCGGTCGGGTTAGAACGGATAGAAGGAAGTACTTCTTCACCCAAAGAGTGATTAACACATGGAAATCACTGCCACAGGAAGTGGTGGCAGCTACAATCATGGACGGCTTCAAAAGGGAATTAGATAAGCATATGGAGCAGAGGTCCATCAGTGGCTATTAGCCACAAGGTATAGATAGGGGCTCTGGGGCAAGTGATGCTCTGTCTTCTTGGTGTTTGGGGGGGGTCCACAGTGGGAGGGCTTCTAATGTCCTGGTCCCACTGGTGGACTTCCTGATGGCACCTGGTATTTTTGGCCACTGTGTGACAGAGTGTTGTACTGGATGGGCCTTTGGCCTGATCCAACATTGGCATCTCTTATGTTCTTAAGTTCTTATGACCTCAGAGGGGTATAATGCCATGGACTCTGCCATCCAAAGCAGCCATTTCCTCCAGGAGAATTAGGGGTGCCAACCTCCAAGTGAGGGCTGGAGATCACCTGGAATTACAACAGCCCTCCAAATAAAGAGATCAGTTCCCCTGGAGAAAATGGCTGCCTTGGAGTGTGGATTGTATGTCATACCCTGCTGAGGTTGCTTCCCTCCCCAAACCTCACTCTCCCAAGGCTCCACCCCCAAATCTCCAGGAGTTTCCCAACTTGGATAGGGTTGCCAAATCCACTTACCCCTCGGAGCGGGGAAGCCTCGGCGGTGTCCAGGAGTTTGTTTAGGGTGTGTGTGCACGCGCGCAAAGTGTG